CCTGGTTGTTATCCATGCTGTGTGCATTGGTACAGACACACTTCAGATGGGCTGATGTCCCAAGCACTTTTTTGCATTGAGAGGTCCTAAGTCCAGCCTGATCTTTCAAAGGCATTACCATGGTTAGTGATCCATCATCATCCCTTGCATCTTTGTTGTGCTGCATGTCTCAATCCCTTGCCTCCACTGAGATGGCAGGGTGAGGGTCACTGCTGGCACAACGGCCCACAAACTCTGGTAATCTTCCCTGGGACTTATGTCTGGGAGTTCCGGTGTTATACCCTTGCTCCTTGACATCTAGTATAAAGCTCTCTCAATGAGCCCAGATAACTCCTGCCCCAAGATCCTTTTCCACCTCTTGGGACAGGTACATCCCATCTGTTGCCAAAAGGTCTGGTGCCCTGTATAGTAACATATGATTGAAAAATCACGTTTTATTTTTCTGGTGAATAGCAAAGATAGACAGTTCTGAGACAAATATTTAAAAGAAAGGAAGATTATCTGTGTTCTAAAGTAGACCATTGCCACAGTTATTTACTTTCAGAATGGACAGTTGTATCTTATTTGTAATTTTTGTTACTTCAGCTTTCAACCATGGATCTATTTGTACCTTTTGCTGCTTAAGAGCTGTTCGAAGGATGTTCCTTATGTAATACTTGCAGGCTGTGCTCAGGTTACAACTCATCTTTCTCTTAGATTAATATAGAGATATTTTTAAGCCTGTTTCTCAGACATGTAATCATTGTCTTAGCTCCTTCCAGACCTTTTCCCTTTTTCCAAATTGCTTTTTGAAGCATAAGCGCCAAAATTGGACACAGTAGTGTGTGAATGGTTGTACCGGTGCCATGTCTGATATTTTCCTTCATCTTTATCCAAGGATACTGCTCACTCCTACTGCCTGTTTTCGCATGCTCATTTCTTTTTGTTGTTCTTGTCATGCTGTTGCCATATCTGATCAAGTTCGGGGGGTCCATTTTTGGCTACATTAAAATAAAAAGTTAATCAGATGAGTCATCTTTAAAAATTGATCTGTTTTCATTCCTATTTGTACTCTACCAGAACTCATTTAATTTTCAAACTTCACCAGTAGTGCTCTCTTATTTTCTTCCAGATCATTGTTTAATGCCAGTGCTGAGTCTAGATTCTTTTGGACTCCACTCAAAAACACCTTTCTTGTCTTCCTAACATTTCTATATCTATTTTGAGATGTTAATTGCACATATGATTAAGTTGCTAGTTCACTTACCATACTTCTGAGCTGTTACTTTTTTTAGTTTGTCTGAAACATAAACTGTAGAAGAAGAGTTATTTATATTATCCTTTTTAATATCAGCTCAACTTTACAGAGCCTTAAGTGATCTCTTAACTATTTAAACTATTTAAATATAGTATTTCCTGACTTGCTAAAATACACTGACAAGTGCATACTGGTGTATTTGAGGTTATCCTCAAAATACTAAACAGTTTCTGAAATAGCAGTTGCAATAGTAACATGGTCCATTTGTTTAAATTCACAGGTGAAAAGTAAATGTGTAACTTATGTTGTGGTTCATTAACTACAAAATTGATTATTTTTTTTTAAAAGCACATTTATTAGTTAGCAGGTATGTGCTTAGTTTATATGTGGGAATAATTTCATAATATCCTATTACATGAAGAGAAAAGAACATCTGCAGTGTTGTCATTATTCACATAGCATGATGGAAACGTAGGCATTTGCAATGTGGTGATTCACCACAGGGGCCATTAATTACAACTATTCATAAAAATTTTATGATTTGAGAAAACTTGTTTCTGGGGCAATAAACCTCAGATATATCTTTAAAAGTTGTGCTAGAAGCAATAATGGCAGGAGTTAGACTGTAGATTCAAACCTACACTACTTTTTTTCAAAATTATGAAGAGAAAAAATTAGAAAAATTAAGAAACTGAAAATATGGTGAAAGACAGAATGATTTGGTAGACTGGTAAAAGCCATCATCTATCCTCTTCTATTTCTTCTTTTATCCAATCTAGCACATGGAAAGAAATGATAAACTGGCTTGGACAAGAAATAAATCTTTGACTAGTATGGCTAAAAGAAGTGTTAAATTTATCCAACATGACAAATTGATGGAAGCTATTAATAAAAAACGAGTCTGTATTCTTCTTTAGTCTTCCTTTGTCATTCTTGATGTCTTTTGTTGTACATCTCATCTACACATCAGGATTTACTTTAACTAAGAGAATGTAGTAAGATAATTTACATTTAGAAACTGGATAGTTAGTCTTTGCTGTGAAGGCCATTCATAATGCTTTATGTAATCAATTAGAAATGCACTTATAATTTTCTGAAACATGGTTTAGTGGTTAACCATTCTTACTTAGAATTCTTTTCTAGGGTTAGCCAACTTGTTCAAGCTCAGAAGTAAGTCCTAAATCCCATGAAAGCTCCTCTCTCACTTGAATAAAGGCCTGTTTTCCCTTCATATGCATGCTAAGTAACCATGCATAGTAATGTGTGTGCTGGATACTGGTTAGAAGGGGACATTAGTGTGCTTTAACCAGTTTATCACTTCCAGTGTTAGTTACTAACTTGCTCTACAAAAGCTTCTATATACATTAATGATAATGCTGATATCTTTGCCCTGTTTTGCTAAGAGAAGGGAGGAGAAGAACAAGGCAAATAATCTCAGTGGCTTTCCTGAGGGCCTTGTAGTGTGCTTTATTGCTCTATCTAATACCTTCTCTTACTTGGAAGAGGCCGTATCCTCTCTTCTTTTGTGTAGTTTCAATATGCCAATTCCATACATATATAAAGTGTAGAGCTCTGTGTGTGTATATATATGTGTGTGTGTGTATGTTATATACACACACACACAGAAACATAGTTATAATATGATTGAATATTTAAGATACCATGTGAGGATTAGAGAATGATTTCTGTGAGAGTCATTGGTAGTTCTAGCTAGAGCTGTAAATCTTTACTAAGGAGCCTAGTCTCAAATGTATGTAATGCAATCATATTCTTGGAAATTAAAGGAGGTATTACATTCTTCCAATGTAAATCAGGAACTAAGAATGGTTTATTGTACTTCCTTCTTGCCAAATCATAGCAGTACTGTTTCCCCAAAGTCCCATAATGAAACTCTGGATGCACAGCATAACCATAGAGTCAGCCAAGAAGGAAAAACAAAACAAAAACAGCTCAGTAAGCATATGAGAACAAAGCTATTACATAAGCAGAAACCTCTTGGATATTGGCAGTTCTGAAATGTCAGATGGTATTCTTTTACATTTGAAGGTATCTTTTCTTTCTTTTTTTTTTTACTCATCGTTACTACAGTTAATATTTATGGCAGTTGCATGAGTGTGAGTGGAAGGCAATCTATGTCCTTAGATTGTCTTTACACATGTTCTCTTGCTTCACCACAAGTCCTGCATTTCTAATCGTTCTGTCATATTGCTTAACAAGACAATAAGTCCCTTGTGTCACATAGTGCAAAACAAAGAATAGCGTTATAACCCAGCACATTAAATGCAATTTGTTGCAGGGTTGAAAAAAATAAAAGAACTTCCTTCTGAATATGATTATAGTTTCTTGTTTACCATCTTTGGCTTAATTTCCAGGGCTCTTCTCAGTGTATTCCCAGAGTTTCTTTATCAGTTTATTCACAAGATTTGTTTCTAGCACTGTTGTTTTGCTTTTCTACTCTGTAATTATCTGGCAGTGGTGACTGGAGAATCAAAAGCTATATAACCCCATGTCTCTGGCTGTGTGGCCTTTAACAAGTGTCAGAAATCTGCCAGCCTCTTGAAATTGCTTTTGGGTCTAAATGACTCTGTGGGAATAATCTGTGGGAAACAAACAAGCAAAAAGCTCTTGGTGTAGTTACATTTGTAAAAATTATAAGTAATCGTTACTCTACTTTCTCATCCCAAGCACAAAACAACTCCTGCATTCTGTTCCTGGAAAATGAGTGTTTCTATATGTGTGTATGTTTATTGTTATCAATCTATGTGTATATCTATGTAGCTTCATAGACGGAATATAAAAATTAAATCTCTCTGGCCCATATGGTCCCTCTCTAAAAATAAAGATCATTACTCCATGGTATAGCTAAAGAACAGGAATGTCTGTATTTGAGTACATGTTGGAATAAAGTTCAATAACTAGGTTGTATTTTGCTTAGATGCTATATTTAAGGGTTTTTTTCTTGTTTGTTTTTCATCGGTTCCCTCCCCGCCTCCCCAGTTCATGCATACCTCAGCAGTCCTATTTTTACTTAAAATAAAAAATTAGCATGAGTTATAAACACTGTAGTAGAAAACAGCTTTTTCTTTGCTCTTTTGATAACTTTGTTATGTGTCTCTGAGAACAGGTAAAATAGGTATGAAATCAAAATGAATCATAAGCAGATGTTGTTTAACAATGTTATTTCCACTTCAGTCGTATTTATAGAGCTATGGCTGGACTAAAATATGTGTTGAAGATTACTAGTCTTCTCCCAGTTAATTAATTTGTAAGTCTTCCACTACTAGAATGGAATACCCTAGCAGAAATCCTTCTCCAGAATGTATTCCTATTGGTCTTTATAACCACTGACTTTTTAGCACAAAAACTTTCTGACTGTATTTCTGATGTAAATGCTGGATTACAGTGCTGTATTTGGACCTGTTATTAAGCACTGAAGATATTTTAATTTCAAGAGAAAGAAAGACTAACTTTAGACTTGTTAAATTTCAAGATATATGGGAAAACCAAAAATTAGATACAATGCAATTTAAATATATGGTACATGCTTTATCATCTGACTACTCTTAAATCTGTTCTAAGAATAAACTGAAGTTTAAGTGTTCTGGGTAATCCTGGCCTTTTCCTCCCCATGCTCTTTGTTGATATAATGGTATTCTGTATTTATTCATTGAGCCATAGAAAATATTTGTAAATAGGTCACATAGACATTACCAGTCTGACAGTTTGGCTTGCTTAACATTTTTTTTTTCCCCCCCAATTCTAGGAAGGATTTCTGTGTACATAAAGATGAACCATGTGATACTGTTGGTAAGTAAGTAAACATTAAGAGACTGTGTGTATAAATCACTAAAATGTTATGTAAATAGAGATGAGAAGCTAAAAGACGACATCATCGGTAATGGATAGCTCTGATTAGCTAACATGCAAAAATAATGTCTCAAATATCAATGTTAGATTTGTATATGCTTCTAGGAAAAGAATATGTTTAAGAATAATATTTCCATCTCATTCATAGAGCAAACTTTAAAAACTTTTTTCTTTTTAATCCTTCTGCCTGTTTAATACAAAATGGTTCAGCTTCATTTTCTGAATTTAAAATATTAAAGCAAATGTGTTTATGATTTTTATTATGCAGTGGATTTATCTTTGATGAGAATACGTCTATGATGTTTAAAAGAAGTTTCCACAGGAATATAATATAATATAGTAGAGTGATACAGTGTTTATGAACTATATAACTTCAGAAGAATACAGGATGTGAACTGTTGTGCAAGGCATCTTATGACATCTTCAGCTAAAGTGAGTGCTAGCTATCAACAGTCATTAATTAGTTCACACCCTTCTGTGAAGATGTTTTTTCAGTGTAAAGGTCTGGTAGGAAAGGTAGCAAAAGGTAGCAACTGCTCTGTTCGGTCGTAATTCTGGGTAAAAGCATGCCATGACACTAAATGAAGGATGGCATGGCATGTTTTTACCCTAGAATTTCATTTGGCTAATAGAAGTCTTTAACAGTTCTATATAAATACAAGTATTCAGAACCTAAATTGTTTCAGTAAGATTAGCGTGATAGTAATGGACTATTAACTCGTCATGCTTGGACTCCCTCCTAGGTAGAGGAGAAGTAGATGATTTTTTTTTTTTTTTTTCCTGTTCAGTTTCAGTGGCAAAGGTTTGAGGAGAATTCTTACGTAAGCTGTATTACCTCACTACTTTCTAGTCTTTTTTCTTCTACTGCTGTATCATCCCAACTCAGTGTGAGCGAGTCTGTGGGGTGGGTATCAATAATCATTCTTAATGAAGAATGGAGTGTTTCACACAGCAGTTAGTGGTTAAGAATTTATGGTGTTCTTCCACTAATCGGCATCTTGGTCTTAGGTGAATTTTGTATGAGTGTTTGGTGCTCAGAGGCATTTACTTTTGTCTTCTAAGTGGAAAAATGTTTCCTTCCAGCTGAAAGAGGAAGTGATGTGACAAGAAGTCTTCAGTATCTTATGCTTATCTGAGCTGAAGATTAAATCTGGAGTACTTTCAGTGTATCTAAATCAGGATAGGCTGCAGTTTGGATTTCACAGATGAAATTAATGTATTCAAGGATTTTCCCTGAAAAAATGTTTCCTGTTTGGTTGAACCTTGAAAGTAATAGAATGGCTATCTCTGAATTTGTCCATGGAATTATAAATGAAGTCAGACTGAACTGACTGAAGTATCAGTCATTCACATTGAAGTGATGAAAAAGCTTGGATGAAACTTGAAAATAAGTCAGTGCATTAACTGTAAGTGCACAGGAAGTAAAAAGTTTGCAGTCTTAATAAAGTGATAAGCAAAATGAAAAGACCTTGGCTTTCTAATTTGATATTTTGTGGAATGGGTGTTGTGGACTTTCCCACTCTGTGTATTGTTGCTTAGAGTTTTCTTCGGGAGTGAAACATAGTTCATATGTGTAGTTCTTTCCATATAGCTACAACTGTGTAGCAAAAGCTGAAGTCATTCTTTTCCTTTTGTTCTATCAGTTATTATATGATTTTAATGGTTAGTTTCCCAGTTGAATATAGTGCCTTTCCATAAATTCAGTGTATAATTTTTTCCATGCACATTTACAGTACTATGGATCCATCCTCACTCTTCAGAAGATAGTGTCTTTCTGAAGCTCTTGTCCACTATCATACATGAGCTGACCTAAGGAAGCTAAGGAAGAGTGTTCAAAAACTAGGGAGAAGTTTGTGCATTTCTGTTGAAGAGAATTTAAATTGTCTTACTGGCATGGATGTGTTACCTCAATATTTTTAGGACTACAGATTTATATGTAAAATTGTTGGAAGTACATGTAGATAGATGGTTTGGTTTCATTATGGCATATTTTCTTTTAGTTTTGATTTCCCTAGGAAACCCAAATGCTGATTTTTAGTCTTAGATAAAATCATGAGTAAAAGTTCATTGAAAGGTAAGGAAGAGCAGATTGATCTTGCTATAGATCTTCATGCAACATGTCTATAGGCAGACAGCACATTCCAGGCTGTTTAACATCGTGTAAATTACAGAATTTGCCAAAGAACGTAGATGAGAAATGCTAATGTAGTATTAAATGTACAATTCCCAGTTGTCCAGATCTTACTTCTTCTTTCCACCCAAAAATCCCCAGAAGAATACACCACAATGCAAACTTCTGTCTACCATAAAGAGTGGAATAAGGCAATTTTCTGTGAAATGTTAACATAACTGTACGTGTACGTGAGGCAGTCAAGGTAATCTTTGTAGCACATTACACAATCCAGAAATGAAAGCATGAGAAAGAAGTATCTACAGGACAGACCTCATTATTGGAAATGGTTGTCATGTTGGATCATAGTTCTTCCCAGTGATGGATGCAAAACAGACAAATACTGCATTTATTGTTTATTCATTAAATGCCAAGACTCAACGTTTTTCAGACTGGATGTGAGTACCCACTTAAGTCAGATGGAGTAAGTGCCAGTGTTCTGTTATACAGACAAAGTTTTCATGGATTTAGGTGGCAAGTAATACATTCTGTGCTTCCAGTCTTGTTCTACTAAAAGTCCAGAGTTTATGCAGTCTTCAGTTAGTAATTTTTCATTGTCCCTTAGAGTGATATATATGAAGATTTAATGGTTTAAAGCTAACATTAACTGAGAACTCTGTTAACCAGAAAAAAATGTTTATTCAAAATCAAAAACATGTCCAAACTCCATAGAAATATATAATTTCATTCTTGTTTTTGAAACAAAATACATGGTGCCAGTCTTCCAAATCTTCCAAATACTCCTTCACAAAAGCTTAAGGTGGAAAAATATTCTTATATTTTTCCATAATGATAGAAAACATATTTTGGAATGTTTGTCAGATTTTTACATTCTTAATCAGGAAAAGAAGTTCTGTTTTGGTGACCAAGCAAATATTATTAACACTTCATATTTGATAGTTTTGAAATGTAGGTGGAAGTAAAAGAATTTTATTTGATTTCCCAACATATGTAAACTTTAGTAAGTAAAATGTCTTTATTTTATGCTTTTCAGAGTTATATTAAGTATTATAGCATTGCTAGAAGTGTTTGGAAAGCTCTGCTGTAGCCAGGGGAGTTGTGGAGCTACTTTCTTACTTCACAATGTAGGTCCAGAGTAACTTGAATGCCTTCCTTGACTAGCCTCACATTTCTGTAAAACAATAAGCTAGACTCTCATGTGGTATCAGAGTGGGTCAACTGATTTCAACTAAGCTGTTCTGATTTCAGTATTGTCAGTTGTCACAGCCCCTGACAAATTCTTTCTGTGTGGAGAACCACAAGGCTATTATCTTAGGGTCAAAATTGACCAAGACCCAAGTGTTCTTGAGCTTCCTCTGGTTGGTTGGCTGCAGCACTCTTACTATCTCCTCCCCACCCCCTCCCGTGCTGTTCCACTCATGTGTGTGCTCCCTGTCTCCTATTCCTTCACAGAAGTGAGATCCTGTTGTTCCACCACTGATTCTCACAGCTCTTCTGTAGCTTAAAGAGAGGTTTTAGACCTTGCTTTACTGTACAATCATTAGGGACATATTATGATTAAAATGGAGGATTTGTCTGGGGGTGGAAGAACATAAAGGTATTTATATACACATTACCTGTACTTTAGCTAATGAAAAGATTAGTTTAGATCTGTAATTGTCCAAGATTCTTTTCCCTGAGAAGACAACTGGGTTTTGAAATCATGGCATTTCTGACCTCCAGACAGGTTTTGTTAGCTTAGTCAGAGGGATCTTTTAAATTTGTGGTGCTTTAGAGTGTTGTTCTTGTGCTGTAGACAGGTAAAATTATGAATGTAGATATCTCAACGAATTTCTGAAAACTAAAAAATAATTCAGTTATAAATTTTCAGAAACTTAGGTGTACTAAAAGAATCGGCATGAAATGTAAACTGAGAGCTAGAACATACTGTACTGTTCTTGTGCATGCATTTTCTGGGATTATATTCAAGTAATTGAAAGGAGCAGTGATTCATAGGGCAATTTGTTAGTGGGTTGTTGCACAAACCTTAGTACCGGGAGATGGAAATAAATAGATATTTTCTCACTCCCTTCAAGGACTAGGCTGACAAATAAACACAGGAAGACTATTTCTTGAAGCATGTGTATGCACATTTGAATTTCCCTTTGTGTACCTTTCCACTGCAGCAGTTAAGATTTTGAGTCTGTGAGACATACTTCTTCTGGATTACACTTGTTCTTTGCTGCTAGCTAACGTCCTCTGTGGAAGCACTCTTAGTAGAGAGTTCTTAGTGTGAAATGTTACAGGCACAGATAGATTGTAAAATTATTCTCGTCTTGTGTTGGCATCAGTTGGGAGCCTCATTAATCTGCAGGAAATCAGGAATGACTGTTTCTAAGGGAGGCCATGTCCTTTCTGGGACATGCTTTCTCTCTGCTTTGAGGCTGCTAACGGTTTAGCATCCCTCTGCCTCCTTTTCCAGTCTTTCCTTGTGCCAGCAAAATGACTCAGCAAGTCTTAGCACAAACAGTTGTGTTTAGCGGAAATTATGCTTGTTTACTTAAATAGCTCTAAAATTTTGTCTGTAGCTTCCATGCAGCTCACTATTTGTGCCAAAGATATAGGTTAGATTGAGAGGTAGGTTCTAGCAGGACACAGGAGAGCTTCTGATGCCCTGGAAGTGTTCAGGGATGCATAGTGATGTTCTCACAGCAGTATCATCTCAAAATGGTTTTCAAAAGACATAGGAATGAGCAGAACTGCTACAGCTGGAAATACTGGCAGGCCGAATGACCTGCACAAAATCAGTGAATTAGTAAGCGTGACAATG